TGGTTCTTTCTCAGGCCCCTATTATGAGGACATTAATCTTATTCATAATGGTTCTGTTCCTATGGCCTAATCACTTCCGCAAGACTTTACCTCCAAATCCCATTACTTGGAGGAAATAATTAAAAAGTTAAAACTTGGAGGGGGGTGATTCAAGCATTCAAACTTAACAAAAAAGAAGCTACCATTTTTTTTAGGGATACAACTAGCTCCAGGGAAGTCTCTTAGATGTAGGAACAGAGAAATGATCATGCTAATTTCATTCCCCTCCCTGCTAATTATTTATTTTGTTCTTCATGTTCTCCAAACAGAAGGTAGGCAGAATGGTGGCCTTGTAGTTTATTCCCATAAGCTCCCTAGGGAGGACAACAGGGTGAAACTGAGGAGTGTATCTGTAGGAGCAAACAGAAAATAGTGTATTGTATTGCTTTCAGAATTCTTAGTCTACACACACAAGCCACCTTCCCTTCCTTTTCCTTTTATCCACCCAATCTAGAATCAAATCTTAAAATCAGAACCAGCATTGTATTTCTCACATGCAACGTATTCTTCCACAACTTCATCTATCCCTATTCCCATTTACCTATTCACAACTCGGCCTAAACTTCTTTCCCACCCTCTACAAGAGCATGTCCAATGATCTCTGTCATCTATATCTGGACGTCTCCCAGGCCTCTGCAGTTAGTATGGTCAAGAAAGCATCTGCGGTTCATTTGAAGGGTATCCTCTCAAAGTTGCAATGTAAATAATCCTGTTACTTCATTTTCTAAAACAAAATCAGAAAGTTTAGAACAGGCTATTTGATTACCATTAGGAGAAGATAATACAGTTCACTGTGGTTATTGTAAAGCTGTGAACAGCTTATGACATTTATGATCTTTACACCTGCACATAGTTTGACACTTCTGCCACTAGTGGTGGTCTGCAAATTGGTTTTGTTTTTTATCATTGCAATAATGATGTAATGAGTGCTTGAAATGAGTCAGCTACTTTATTTGCACTCTTATTTATCTCTAAAGTGAGGAAATCTATACTGAGAGCTGTTTGGCACATGGCCTTATAGTAATAGGGAGAGATGATTTTTATATCTCAAGAGCTTGGCTATGTGATAACCCATGGGGCCCCGGTAATCAGTGGAGCCCAATAGTCAGCTGGTCCTGTGGCCCCGCCTGCTGGAGGGGGCGGGGCAGCAAGAGGCGAGCCTCACTGCTCCACAGACCCGGCCATGGGACAGAGCAGGGCTTTGAGAGGCTGACGTCACCGCCCCACGGGGCGCCGTGGAGGGGCGTGGCATGCCGCCGAAAGGGGCGGGCATGCCACTGAAAGGGGTGGGGCATGCTGCTGGAGGGGTGGGGCATGGAGGCCCACACGGTGAACTGTCAGGAAGTGATTGGACAGTGGGCAGCTTGGGGGAGGAGCATGAATGGCAGTTGGAAAACCATTAGGGAAAACCATCGGTAAGCAGTGAGCGGAGGAAGGGGAGGAGTAGGAGTGGAGGATCCTGGAAGGAAAAGCTTTCCGGGCAGGGCAGGCCTTGGAAGGTCATTTGGGACCTCCTCTGGAGGTCATTGGGGCCTTCCTCTGGAGAGGCCTGTGGAGAGGCCACCCTGAGCAGAGCAGGGCAGGCCTGTGGAGAGTGGAGAGGCCTGCAGAGAAGGAGGAAGGGAAGAAAGGGAAAAGCCTTCCCCTTTGGAGGTTTGGAGCTTTGGAGCTTTGGAGGTCTGGGGTTGGAGGTTTGCAGACTGACTCATTGGTCGTTTGCAGACCCACTAACAAAGGTCGGGGGTCAGGACTGCTGTTGGAGGCTTGGAAGTTTGGTGGTTGAGGCTGATCTTGGTTCTGGGTATCTAGCAGGAGAAGGTAGGCTCAGGACCCTTTTCTGGTATACATAGTGTAAATAAACTTCTCGTGTCCACTTTTCACTGTCTGAGTCTCGAAGGATTGTCTCGCTCTCCTCTCCGGAGGTCATAAGTGTTGCAGAACATATACACTATTCTCTAAAATAACACAAATCATTGTTATGGTCCAGGGAAGAGGGGATAAAAGGCTAAGAGTTTGGATACTGAAAGCATTAAGAGTATGGAAAATATAATACAGCTTGAGAAAACCAGACAAGACTAAAAGGAACCATTTCCTTTCCATGCTTTTTAAACTAGTAAGCATGAATTGTGCTAGAAACTAGGGCTAGAAGACAAGTTACCTAGTGGGAAGACATGTACTTCATAATAAATTTTAAGATTAAATTTGTATGCAAGATTCACAAAATATTAGTGAAATTGGATATATGCAGAATTTATTAATTTCATTAACCAAAAGAACCTTCCTCCAGTACCTACATACTTACTATACTATCTAGTATAGTTCTTTCCTTCCTTTCTTTCTTTCTTTCTTTCCTTCCTTCCTTCCTTCCTTCCTTCCCTCCTTCCTTTCTTTCTTTCTTTCTTTCTTTCTTTCTTTCTTTCTTTCTTTCTTTCTTTCTTTCTTTCTTTCTTTCTTTCTTTCTTTCTTTCTTTCTTTCTTTCTTTTCTTCTTTCTGGTTAAAATAACTCCATTTTTTGAGGCAGTGACCATTTGTTGCTTGTTTAAGCAAATCCTGTGAGCAAACCTAGACCAACAATTAGCAACACGTGGTGGTAATCCAAACACCTGGTTGTTTGTCTTTATAAGCCCTGCAAATCTTTAGCTCTGGGCTCTCCTCCTAGGCTCTGCTGTGTCAGAGCATAGGACAAGGCCCAAGCTGCAGTCCGTCTAAATAAAACGTTGGTTTTGCATTAGAACGTCTGACTCTCCTTGGTCTTCTTGGTGGGGGTCCTGTGACGTGGGTACTACTCTTTCTTTCTTTCTTTCCTTCTTTCTTTCTTTCCTTCTTTCTTTTTTTCTTTCTTTCTTTTCTTTCCTTCTTTCTTTCTTCCTTTCTCTCTCTCTTTCCTTCCTTCCTTGCTTTCTTCTTTCCCTCCCTCCCCCTCTCTTCCTCTCTCCTCCCTTCCTGTCTCCCTCCCCCTCCCTTCCTCCCTTTCTTCCCCTCCCTCCCACCCTTCCTCCCTTCCCTCCTTCCTTCCTTCCCTCCTTCCTTCCTTCTTTCCTTCATTTTTTATTTTCTTCGAATCTTTCTGGAGAAACAAAAAGAACAATGACATAGTCCTTATCCTGAAGAATCCTACAGTATAATGAAACCATTTCTGGGGTGACAGCAAGAATAGAGCTACAGGACATGCAATGCTAAACAACCTGGAGGTCAATATGTCACTTAAGCTAAAATCCAAGGCATAAAAAAGACGACAGAGAGGGCAGTGGACAGGTCTTAGGAGTGTTTGTAGTCTTTTTATTAAGACAGTCCAAATTGCTGCTGGTGGGATTGCTAGGGAATACACATCTTCCTCTTGTATTCATTTCACTAGAATACTATGAAGGATAAAATGTATATTCTTTCACTATGCAAACAGGGATGCACTGTGTAAATCAGCACACATAAGGACTAGGAAAATGGCCAGGACCGGAACTTGACAGCAGGGTTTATGAATTAGGTAGACAGGGCAGGAAGCTAACACATCCCACATCTGCACAAGCCAGTGATTCCAGGCAAACTCCACAATCCTCCAGTCTGCGGGTGGAGGGCACTAAGCGCTCCTGAGAAGCTGGGCCTTAACATCCCGGAGTGCAGGGAGGAAGCCAGTCAATTTCCACAAGATTCGCTTTCATGAGTCCGCCCATCCTGGAGAGGGCGCTGGCAACACCCGACCCATCCTTGGAACCTCCAGTGGCCGGCTGCCGTGGCAACGATCACTTCCGGGACGGCCGCCGCTCCCTAGTTGTCATTGGTCGAGAGGACGCGGCCCGCCGCTGACGTCACTGCGGAGCGCCCGGTGCGAAGGCGCGGGTAAAGCCGGGTATCTTCGGTGGTGGTCGGCGTGATTTGTGGTTGGTTTGTGGAGAGACAGTCGGGCGGAGGCCCCGGTGTCCGCGTCGCGGCGGGAGAGGTGTGGCCTCGGGAGGGGTCGCCAGAGCTGTGGATCGGGGTGCGGGAATCCCGCCGGCTTCCTCCTGCTCTGTTGCCAGGGCCGCCGCTCGGTTGCTAACGACCCTGGAGTCGGCTCCTCGGAGAGCACGGGGCCGACGGGGGACCGGCCTGGGGTTTGGCGGGAGCGTCCGTCCCCGGCCTGGCCTGAGGGTGGCAGGAGCTCCTTCCCGGTCCCGGCCCCGGGTTTGGCGGGAGCGTCCGTCCCCGGCCTGGCCTGAGGGTGGCAGGAGCTTCCTTCCCGGTCCCGGCCCCGGGTTTGGCCCGTACATCTTGCTGGGTATCCAGGGATGTCTAGGGACAGGCCCCGGGTTTTATTGGATGAGATGGGGTCTTGCGTACATCCGAATCTCCGCAACCTTTGCAGCTAGGATTACAGACATGATTTTCCCCAGCAGGTTGAAATTTGTTTCCAAGAGTTTTCTCCTTTTGGAGATTTCTAATTGTCAGGTGAATTCATGACTCCGATGAAGAGTCATTTATGGAAGTATCCTGTTTATCCTGAATCAGATGAACCTACGGAGTTGAGTCTGTGTCCTCACATAGTTAAAAAGTTGTCCTTTGGAAGTGGAGGGGAACTTGTGTCGTCACAAGGGAAGGTTTTTACACTGTGGAGTTTGACAACAGTTGTATATACTGACAATGAAAATCATACACTATGACGTGCACTAATCAGGAATCAAACATAAAGGAACAAGCTGGAAACTCAAGATGTTTGTGAAATGTGTATTTCACTAAGGTCAGGAAAGGTGGCATGAGAATCTGGCGTGGAGCTCAGCCTCAGCGTACCAGTAGGCAGTTGGGCATATATCTGGAAATATTTGTGTATTCTTTGTAGAGATACAAATTTAGATTCAGGTTGGATTAAGCAGGAAATCTTTAGCACTTCACTTAGTAGAAATGAGAAAAATGGAAGGAGAGTGAACCAACGTTTATTGGGTAAGCAACTTTATGTATAATCATATATTCCCCATAATATCCTTGAGTGGTTGTATTATGTCTCTTTGTCAATGGATCATGAAGGCAAGGCTGGGGGATGTTAAATCTGCTGAAATTCATCAAACATGTAATTGCCAAAGCTGAGATACAACCCTAGATGTACCCATCATTTGTTCCTCACAACTCTAGGCTTGAGTATTATCAGTGCAGAAGAGGAGGCACGCATAATCCTAGCTGAGTGGCCAGAAAACCGGTTGCAGCTTCAGTTGTAGTTCCATTCTGTTTATAGAGCTCACGGTGCATTAGGTAAGAGAGTTCATTATGTCACTGGAAATTCCGACCATGATATATCAACATTAGCATTCAGAGTTTAGGAAATATAGAGGCCAGAGAAGATGGAGAAGGTAGGAGATGTGCCAACCATATACAGTATATTCAGTATACTGAATTTTGTATATGTTGTAACTGAGTATATATTGACAATTCAAATTTTGACAAATTTTTTACAATTTTTTTACAATTTTTACAAGTTTTCATTTCTGTGGAAGCTGTAAATTAAAAACAGTGGTCACATGTTCTATTGTGTAATTATACATTAGTGAAACTGCTTTTTTCTCTAATTTTTATTTCAGTGTTACTGAAATTATTTTCTCTTTAGTCTTTTCACGTATTTGGCTCCATACTGGGATTTTTAAATTTTTATGTCAACTATTCTATCTTTATGCTCTGTTCATGTTAGAGATAAACACATTTTGAAATCAAGTTTCTTTTAACTACAGGATTGGAAAGGAAGCAATGCAGAAATCAGATTGCCCTACAGATGTACAGGTGAAAAGCAGAGTAACAGGTACAGAGCTTTGTTATTTTACATGAAGAGGCCAACGTTTTTTGTGAGATGTTCTGTGTTCCATATGGATTTGCCTGGTTTTATTGATGCTCTGCCTTTTCTAGGTAACTTTGATCAAAGGACATCCACCAGTACACAAATAAAACGCAAGACTACAGTTCAGCGAAGCAAATCTTCCTCTTCCACCAGCTCTCCAGAGTGTGTCCGAAAAGTTCATCCTCGACCAAGCGATAAACTAAACCCTAAAACAATTAATCCTGTAAGTACAGAATCCTAATTTGGATTTGTAAATGTGATAGATATTAGCTACCCCAGGTTTCCTCTGTTGCTATTCTAAACTAGTTACTGCTTCTGTGTCCATTCAGACTCATTGATGCATAATGTAGAGATATAATAATTTATACAACAGCTTTTTCAATATTTTATGCTGTTTGACCTTCTAATATCAGTGAATAGACTTGGATTCTATGGTTATTACATGATATCTGTACTTCAGTACTTGTATAAATGTCAATATTCTGTAAACTTATTCCACTGGAAAGTCTTACTGTAATACTAATCTCCCTTGATATTTTCAAGGCAACTCTAAATATAGAATTAGTGTGTCCTTGAATATACAGAAAAACAAGAAGCTTGTCAAATTATATAATCTAAGACAGTATACTCAAATGCATTTGAGACTTTTGCCTCATATTTGATTTTCATTCCATAGAAGCAGTAAGCTAGTTTAGAGAAATAAGAGATTTTTTTTCTTTTTATCACCCACACTATCTCTGTTTGGCTGAAGGCAAGTAGGAGATAAGTTAGTGACTAAAACCAGACCATTCTCTTCTTTTCCACTTAGCCAACACCTGAACAGTCAGAGTAAGGTAGAAAGTATCAAGATCTATCCATTTCCATGTTTTCAGCCATGTTCAGACCCTCTGAAATGAGTTAAAGATACAAAACTACACACTGTTTGGTTGTAGTCTTGTTATTCTGGAAGTGTGACCATTTTTCTCATTCCTGCTAAGCAGGAATGCTTCTTATAATACCAGAGTTTTGATTTGACAGGGTGACTGTTTGCCTCTAAATTCAGCAGCAGAGTTAAAATTGATTAGCTATCACAGAGTGGAGGTAATTGTAGTTTTTCTATTTCTTATTTCAGTTTGGTGAACAGTCACGAGCCCCTTCTTCATTCGCAGCTATTTATTCTAAGGGAGGTATTCCTTGCAGGTAAAATCAATACAATGTATAACTGACCATATTATTCACAGTAATTGAGCAAAATCAATACAGTATTCAGTGAAAATGGGTTGAAAGTTCTACTAGGTTGAAATAAAGGTGACTTATTTTCTTCACTGTTGGATTGGTATAGATCTCTGGACATTGATGAAGAAAACCATTTTAATCCCAAAATGTACTTACTGAGACCTGTGGTAAATTACCAAATAATTTGAGGAATTGAATGATCCACTTTCTAAAACAATCAATTCAGGCATTCATAAACTTCCTCAAGTTGGAAATTAGAAAATCCTGTCATTGGTGAAGTTGTAAGTACTTAAGCATATTTTTGTCCCTTTGGGTCAGGTCTTTTTGCCCTGGACTAGTTTTAGTCTGTTTGAAACAATGGGAAATTTATTCACATTATAAAATGGATAATTAAAAATTTTCTTATGGCTCCACATTTTTTTTTAAAGTAATGAGACAGCAAAGACCCTAATCCAGGGTCTCGAATCCATTTTCATAGCTCCTGTTGGAGCCCCTTTACCTTCTTGTCCTCAGTTTTCTCCTTAGGTGGCAGGTATGTTGTGTATTTACTCCTCCTTTTAGTGTTATGTTTCAGTGATCTTTGTGAAAAGCAGTGTTGTTTATAAAACAGTACTGTTTTGTTAATATATTTTCTTTTCTGGATGTCACCTATTTTGTGGCTCACTCCTATCATCCATCCTAGCTACTCAAGAAGCTGAGATCTGAGGATCATGGTTCAAAGCCAGCCTGGGCAGGAAACTTTGTGAGATTCTTATCTACAATTTTCCATCAAAAAAAAAAAAGAAAAAGAAAAGCCAGAAATGGTACTGTGGTGTAGCCTTGAGCACAAAAGCTCAGGGATAGTGCCTAGACCCTGAGCTCAAGCCCCACAATTGGCACAAAAGAAAAAAAATACACTAGTGGGGAAACAGATTCATAATGAGCAATATCAAATACAGGGCTATTAAACCATTTCGTTCAAAGAGTAGGACTTTGTAGGACAGTGGACGTTGTTTTGTACAATGTCCTTGAATTATCTTTAAAAATTATGATATCTGTATGTTATAAACTAATTCTAATGTGGCTATATACACATATATAGCCACATATATACATATACATGTATTCAGATATATACTCTTTGAAGAGTATGTGTATGGTAAGATTCCTATTGAATAATTGTGCTTTTTTGTCTCTCACTGACTTTCGTATTGTAGATTGGTCCATGGTTCAGTAAAGCACAGGTTACAGTGGGACTGCTCTCCTGAAAGTCTTCCATTTGACCCTCTTCTTATTACTTTAGCTGAGGTAAACAAAGAGTTTCACCTGAATGTTCATGAAAATAGTCCTATTTAATATAATAATAAATGTTATAAGTAAATCTCATTATGTACCTTTGAAATAAGAACAGGACAGCAGTAAGCAGTCGTGGTGGTTCATGCCAGTATCCTAGTTACTAGGGAATCAGAGATAGGGATATTGAATGTAAGGTCAGCTTGGGCATAGAAGTTTATCAGACACCATCTCACAGCCAGTGGTGGGTTATGGTGCTATGCAATTGTTATCCTAGCTACCAGGGAATCAGCGTAATGGCTGAGTGCCTGTTATCCCCAGTGTCAGAGGAACAAGAATGAGGGTCCCAGCCCCAGCCAGCTGAGGCATACAGTAGGATCCTGCCTTGAAGATCACCAATGCAAAAAGAGGTTGAAGAGGTAGGTAGCACAAGTGGTAGTGTGCTTAGCAGCATGAGGCCCTGAATTCAACATACCCAGTACTGCCAAAGGTGAGCAAAAAGAAAAGCAGAACCAAACAATAGTATTAAACCTTTACACCAGTAAGAAGTAATTATGGTTGTCATGTATTGATTAGAAATTGATAAACCAATTTTATAAACATTAAGTTAGGCTAACAAGGATTTGTGGATAAAAGATGAAGTAATCATAATTTATTATTGGACTTATAAGAAGATTGCATAAGAAGATTATTGTTATTTTTTTACTAATCACGAGAACAGCAGAATTAAGACAAATGACATCATAATAAGTGTCCTCTTTCTCTACCACCAGCTAATGTGATGGGGAATTAAGGGGAATTGATACTAACTTTTTTTTTTTTTTGGTTGGTCATGGGGCTTGAACCCTGGGCCTGGGCGCTGTTCCTGAGCTTTTCAGTTCAAGGCTAATGCTCTACCACTTGAGCCACAGTGCCACTTCCAGTTTTCTAGTGCTTTATTGGAGATAAGAGTCTCATGGACTTTCCTTTCCCGGTTGGCTTTGAACCTTGATCCTCAGACCTCAGCCTCTTGAGTAGCTAGGATTACAGGCATGAGCCACCGGCACCCGGCCAGTCTTAACTTCTTAAATGTCCAGTTCCATGTTCTACTTGTATGTTTCTAGCATCTATCATGGAGGTAGTCTTTATAGAAGGTTTTTCAAATGTTTCCATGATGTAATTTAACAAAAGCATCAGGAACAAGTTTCGGAATCTTAGAAGATATGTGCAGCCATATCTTCTGTACATTTTATTCCTACCTTTAGCATCACAGAGGAGAAATGCATTGTCTAGATAGTTTACATTTAAATTTCTAGTTTCTTGCTCTTTCACTTGAAGCCAAGACTCTGCCAACTTTATCTACAATCGAGCACCACTGTTGTATTAAGAATTAGGCTGAATTAGATAACATTTTACCTTTCTATTCATTTAATAGAAGAGAAGTAGTTCAGGAAATCCACTATTGAAACCCACTTCAGTTTTTGACTTGAGATTGTCCATCTAGAAGATGGATAGGATATAGGTAGGTACTCCTGACACCACAGCATCTGTGTTCCAAAATGGAGCCCGTGGGGCTGGCAGCAGTGTTCTCAACAGCGTTGCGATACTAGAAGCTGAATCCTTGATGGGCCGGAAGCAAACACTTCGGCCTAAAGGGAGGAATGGTTGAAAATGAGCCCTTCCAAGCCTGACTTTGCAGCCTTTTCTGTTTACGGCCTCCCATTGAAGGAGTGTTGGTGTTGCCTTTTTTTAAAAATCTTTTCATAGTCAGGTTGCTTTTTTATATCTTGACACATAGTGTGGGGTTAAGTCAGAAAACTGCTGTCTACTCCTGTAATGCATTTAGAGTGACAGGTACAGTGAGAAACGGAATGCACTTTAGGAATTAATTAAACAAGCTGAAAAATAGCTGCACTGGTTGAGGGCCCATTTTGAAAGAGTGGATATACTTGTCTAGACTAATTTGCTTTCAGGCAGTATTCAGCAGTTATACAAAACTATGCTCCTTTATCTTTTTTTTTTGAGTCCGGTCGTGGGGCCTGAACTCTGGGCCTGGGCGCTGTCCCTCAGCTCTTCAGCTCAAGGCTAGCGCTCTACCACTTGAGCCACAGCTTCACTTCCGACTTTTTTCTTTTTGCTTATGTGGTGCTGAGGAATCGAACCCAGGGACTCAGGCGTGCAAGGCAAGTGCTCTACCACTGAGCCACCTTCCCAGCCCCTCCTTTATCTTTTTATGTACCATTACTTTCCCTTCTTTTTTCTCTTCTTTTTCCTTACTTCCTACTTACCTCTTCTTTCCTTTTCCCAATCCTTTCACTTTTCGTATTGTCTTTCTTCCTCCTGTTCTGAGGATAAAGATTCCTCCTTTATTATGTATATCTTTTTGTTCCACAGTTTCTCAGTGTAATTGAAATCATAATTGCTGAAATTATACATCATGATGAGCAAAACAATAATTAAAGTTTGGATTTTTCACTCAGGCTAATGAGGATTTAGCTTTTCTGTAATTGATAGAATAAAATAGCCATGAATCCTAATTTTGCTTTTGTTTTTTATGTTGTATTTGGCAGGGTCTGAGAGAAACAAAGCATCCATACACCTTTGTGTCCAAGGAGGGTTTTAGAGAGTTACTTTTAGTTAAAGGTGCTTCTGAAAAGGCTGTACCTTTGCTACCCAGACTGATTCCTGTGCTAAAGGCGGCTCTGGTATGTCATTTATCTCACCGCACTTCTTTATCTTAAAATACATGAGAGAAATAAAGCTCTAACACCTGCAGAATATCCCATCACACACACAATTATATACAAAATAGCCTTTCCTTGTGAGTTCGACCTATGTGTGGAGTAAGGCCACATACAATTAGAGGAGTCACTAAGCCTCAAGTTTTATTTTTTTTTTGTATGCTTGGTATATTCTAAATAGTGCTTTAGATGAAAGTTTGAAAATTAGTTTTTTGTTTATGGATGTCCTACAATGAAAGTTTTAAAACTTTTGGTGTTTAGTGATTGTTCTTATTTTAAATGCTTAATTGTCCTTTTCTTCACCCGTTGCTCTTTTTTGTTACCTGTTCTCCCTTCTTGCTACTCCTCCTTTCCGCCCCCCATCCACACAGATCCATTCAGATGATGACGTGTTTGTGAGAGGGTTGAGTGCCCTGGTACAATTAAGTGTTGTCGTTGGTCCTTCTCTTAATGACCATCTGAAACACCTGCTGACAAGCGTAAGTACTACAGAGAATAGAACATGGTAGAGTGTTTGTTTCTTTGTAATTTAATGTCTTCCAACTGATCATTAAGGTGTCTTGAAAACTCTTATGTTTTTTTAATTGTAAGTGCTTAGAAGAGCAGAATATAGACTTACAATAAAAAGTAAGCAAAAGTTTAAAGAGTACAAATAATTAACAGTATAGTGTTATACCTGTGTGGATTGGCTTTGAATTATAAGCAGTGCGTATATGCTATCTTACATAATTATGTTTTCAAAGCATACTTTTCTCCATTTTTCATTCTCATTATATTTTAGAGGTACAGCTTTCTATCATAGTGCTCCAAACGTGCTTCCATATAACAAATGGAAAATATACCAGTTCACAGGAACTTACTCTAAGTATTATGCTGTGTAGTAGATATTGTAATACTTGAAATAATGTAAGTTCATTTTTAAACAAATAGAGCATTGTCGATCATATGTGGATGTTAATGTTACATAAAAGAAGTCTCAAGCCCTTAAATGAAGAGTTACTTATAAAGTTTACTTCTGTTTATGATGAGTATTGTTACTTTTTTCCAATCTTTTAATCTCCTTTGCCCAATATTACTTCAAAAGCTTTCCAAGAGACTAATGGATAAGAAGTTCAAGGAGCCCATCACTAGTGCATTACAGAAGCTTGAGCAGCATGGTGGAAATGTAAGTAGAATATGTGGGCTTTGGTGGTTTTGTGTTGTCGTTTTGCTTGTAGTGCTAGAATAAACTGGCCGCATATTTGCATATGTTATCTCACGTCAGCTACATGCAATCCATGAAGGTGAGTTATTTTTAGTTTTAGAGCTCAGGGCATCTGTCTTGCTGAGGCCACAGTTTTGAAAAACAGGGCAGGTAAGTAGAAGTGATACACTTTCCCTGTGCTTGCTGTGTGGCATTCTATGTGGAATAGGCTTAGATTTTTCCTAAACTACTTTAGAGTTTTGTTTTGACCATTGGAAAGTTAAGGGTAAAAAATGAAAGGATTTGTTCAGAGCACTCACTGGTATACATTTCTTCCTCTTCATTTTTATTTTATGTTCTTATCCATTGTTTTGGCAGTACTGGGGTTTGACCTCTGGGCTTCATATTTGCTAGGCAAGTACCCTACCACTTGAGCCACACTCTGAAACACTTCCGCTCATTATTCTAACTTTTCAAGGTGCAGGAATGTGATATTTTATTACTGTTGAGAGACGTTTTCAGACTCATAGTTTTGCAAATATTTTCATAATCCATGGAGATTATTTTATCAGATGATAGAAGTGCATATCATTTTTCTTAACGTTACAGGACTTAGGTGGTTTTTGTTGTTGTTGTTGTTGTTGTCAGTTGTGGGGCTTGAACTTAGGACCTGGGCTCTGACCCTGAGATATTTTCCTAAGGTTAGTCCTCTACCACTTTGAGCCACAGCACCACTTACGGTTTTCTGGTGTTTTAATTGGAGATAAAAGTCTCCTGCCCCGACTGGCATCGAACTGCCATCCTCAGATCTCAGCCTCCTGAATAGTAGGATGATAGATGTGAGCCACTGGCACCCAGCAGAACTTAGTTTTATTTTAGATATTTTCTGAAAGAATTGGTTGCAATCAAGTTGGTATGATTGTATTACAGCTTTAAAATGGGTTTGGCTAAATTATATAAACTACCTACTTTCAATAATTTTTTTCAATAATTTCTGTGCTTTCTATGGTATACTTAGAATAAAAAATAAATAAATCCCTAAGCCTGCTAGACAACAAACTTCTTTGTGGGTTTTATGTCCTAGGCAAAGAATCAGTATGCACAAAATATTTGCAATGTGCCCACCCAGCCCTATCTGTCTTTGCCTTTAGCAGAGGGGTGAAGGGCTTGCTGGCAAACGTACTTTACTGTTTTAAGAATTGGAGTGCAAAAAGGTATCTGCCCTTTTCCTTCCCTGAGAAGTGATGATAGCTTCTTAATGAGCCTGCCCTCCCCAGACAGTTTTTTCATCTTCCTGTGATATTTTATGGATGTCCGTATGTTGTTGGCAAGGGAGAGGAGTGAGTTGACATGTAATAAATTTTAGAAAGAACACTCTAAGATTGGGAGCTGAGTACAGGGAGTGTGCTTGCCCAGTCCAGGGCGTGAGTAGAGTAAGTTCTTCTGGATTGCCACATAGTCCTACCAGCTTTGAATGTTGCTTAAGAAAGTGTTTCTTTTTTAAATTCCTATTTAAGTATTATCTGTTTTCTTCAGACTTACTTTCTCTCTTATGTCTCACGAAATATATCTGTAATGATATCATTGCAATAGACTTTTAAAAATTGAAATTACATATTGAAAACTTTCTGTTGGCTTAATTATTATGCTGCTTCCTTTTGTTATTTTGTATTCCTTCAGGAGTTCAATAAATACTATTCTTTCTAAGAACTTCAAAAGTACATATCAGTTTTTTTAAACATTAGTAATGAGACTCATTTTTTTTTTTTTTGCGAGGAGTGGGGGTATTGTGGGGCCTGAACTCTGGGCCTGGGCACTGTCCCTCAGTTCTTCAGCTCAAGGAAAGCACTCTACCACTTGAGCCACAGTGCCACTTCCAGTTTTCTGAGTGGTTTATTGGAGATAAGAGTCTCTCAGACTTTCTTGCCAGGGCTGACTTTGATCTGTGATCCTCAGATCTCAGCCTCCTAAGTAACTAGGATTACAGGCATGAGCCACCAGCTTCAATTAACCTTTTTAAAAATTATTTTAGTAGTTGTATAAAGTAGTTTCAATTCATCATGTCAACTTATCTATTCTTGACAATCTTCTGAGATAGCTTTTGCTGAAACCTTCCTTGAAAGATCAAGGAATGAGATGGGAAAGTTGGTCCAGGTTTAACAGAAAAGAGGGTAAGAAAACCTAAATTTAAAGTTGGGTCTGGTTTCTTCCTTTCTAAATGCTCAAGAATGTTTATCTGTATTTTTTCTTAAAGTTCTATTTATCCTATAAATTTGTTCTTATATTTTATTTGTTTTGAATTGACTTTTAACTATTGGGGTATATTACAAGTATAATAAATACATACTAGGTTAATTTTAAATAGTACTAATGATGCTATATTTTTTTCCTATTGACAGGCAAGCCTTCTAATCATCAAATCCAAAATTCCAACTTACTGCTCTATATGCTGTTGACAAAGGGAAACCACAAGAGTTGTCTTGCTTCTTTCTTGCAAGTGTCACACAGTGAGCCACATGTACACATGGACCATTTATTCAGTTCAGCTTATTCTTTTATAGATCACATCCACAATTCACTAGCTGTTCGATCAAGGGGAGTGTATGTAGTCCAGCCGAATCATAGTAAATGTTGTCAACAAAAACAGACAGGTAATAATGCAAAGCTATTAAAAGAATTCTATAATAGTATAACTTTGTAGGTCTTTTTTTCTTGGTTAGATCATAGTATGAAAAACCATTATTGAATTTATATGATCAGATGTATTTATTTTCTAGTACATTTTTATTTAAAACATTTCTTTGCAATTTTTTGTAGCTGTGTACTTATTTCTATCGATTGTTCTTTTGGCTATTTTTTGCTTTTTGTATTATTTTTTAGAGCTAGAGAAATTTAAAATAGAATATAAGCATTTGGGAACTCACTCTTAGTTTTTTCTAAATTTGCATTTTATAATGTAGAATGGTTAGAAGGATTTCATTCCAGAGAATTCTAGTTTAGGAAGTTTGTTTTAAATATTCGAATTCTATTGTAACTATGTAGTTTTTTACGACTTGTTAAAATTGCGTAAACTTTAGGTGTTAATTGAATTTCATAGCCTGAAAATATTGATGTACATACAAAGATACTCAAAAATTAAAATACTTATATGCATTCAATGGTATTGTTGTTCTGGCTTGTACTTAACAATGATTTGCTCTTTAAAAGTTTTTTGGGGGGGCTGGGAAGGTGGCTCAGTGGTAGAGCGCTTGCCTTGCATGCCTGAGGCCCTGGGTTCGATTCCTCAGCACCACATAAGCAAAAAGAAAAAAGCCAGAAGTGGCGCTATGGCTCAAGTGGTAGAGTGCTAGCCTTGAGCTGAAGAGTTGAGGGACAGCACCCAGGCCCAGAGTTCAGGCCCCACGACTGGACCAAAATAAATAAATAAATAAAAGTTTTTTTTTTTTTTTTTTTTTTTTTTTCTGGATGTGGGGCCTGAACTGTGGGCCTGGCCGCTGTCCCTCAGCTCTTCAGCTCAAGGCTAGAGCTCTACCACTTGAGCCACAGCACCACTTCCAGCTTTTTCTGCTTATGTGGTGCTGAGGAATCGAACCCAGGGCCTCAGGCATGCAAGGCAAGCACTCTACCACTGAGCCACCTTCCCAGCCCTCTTTAAAAGTTTTCAAATTATAATTTATAGATAAAATTCAGAAGTTTTGACATAGTTGGAATGGATTATATACCTGTAAGAGGAGAGTAGAAAAAGAAAAATGGGAAAAATGAGTAAGAGGTTGGAACTGGCACAAAATCTTTCAACGATTTGTGTGATTGCACCACATTCACACAGCGTGATACTTCAGAGAGCGCAGAGACGAGCAATCCCATAGTCCAGAACCGCCGAGAGCACCCTTTCCTTCTTTGCTCTTTCTCTGCAACACCGAGATTGACTTTGTTTGAAATTCTTGTTTCAGAGAGTCTCACTGTTGTTAAGTGAGAGAACACAGGTAGTTTCTGAGGGGTTGCAGAGCTGAAAGACCCATCTTCCTGCAGACATTTGCCTTGGGCTTTCTGGAACTCATTTCCTTATGTCTAGCTCCTGTCACATTCTCAGGTCACACCAGGTATGTGAGTTACCTGTCCACTGGCTTTGCTTTATAACTCGCTTTGTGTGTGTGTGTGTTTTCCCTAAGAAAAACAATATAGTAATCCTAAATCAAGTTAGAAAAAAAAAAGTCCTAGAATGTAGACAGTAGAGTTATAAACACTTTATTTTGCTTTATTTTTCCTTTTTGAAATACAAAATGTGCACATTGAGTTTACACAAACACGCGATGGCAAGTTTCAGTGTACATGTATTGTACTACTCTTAATTTCTACACTGGTGATAGCAGGGCAGCTTTCAACATCCTATCTCTACACCAGAATAGATACCTGATTTAGTGTTGCAAAGACAGTTGCAAATTTCCTCCTCCTGTAGCCTCTCTGTCTTTTTCATATTTCCACAAAACAGGGAAGATGAGTGTTTCTATAGTTGTGGCAGCTTTACAGTTTTGCCTTAATATCATTAAAAGGAATCTGCATTGTTGGAGATTTATGATAAGCTAAATCATAATGCAATCAGATGAGTTGTTCCATGTTTATATTCATTTCCTATGAAATCTTGGTAGTAGTTCCTAATATGATGGAATCAGGGTGTTTTCCTAGGGAACTCTGCTTGCTCTCTGTTCCTAGTCAGTTTTAAGGGTGGTCAGGTCTCTGTCCCTGAAGGGCTTATAAAACAAGCATACTGTGAGGATGCCAGGATGAGGATGCTAAGAGAAAGGGATGGAATTGGACTTTAGTACTGTTGAAGATTGCGATCTGTAAACATCCTTGCTTTGTATCACACCCTCTTGAGCTTAGTGATCAAGTAGAAAACAGTCCACCTGTATAATGGAATAAATCCTAAATTATATGTATTTTGAGGCCTTGGCAAGAGTATGCATCATAGAAAATAAATAAATGCTTAATAAAATAAGCTTTGTTAGACATATAATGACATCTGATAACAAACATAACTTGTTAAATGTTATTTAATAAAAGCCAGATAAATTGATGTCCTTAACAGAAGGTGGAGAATTCATAGAAATTGCGGCTGTGTGGGGCTTTTTGTTTGTTGCTATGGTTGTCATAATTTTGGTGGTTGTTGTTAATGTTATGCTAATGGAATTAAATGAAAATTGGTTTTTGGAAATTAAAAGCCGATGTAAATATTTTAGAAAACCCATTTAAAATCCTAGGACTGATAGCATACAAATGAGTAGCAAAATCACTGATATTTTAAAATCACTGATATGTGAAAGCCTCATTAATCCCTTGGCTAAAGAATCAAAACTGTGCTGGATTCTATTACTGCTGAATATTCACAGAGTATGAAATGAGTTAGAACATCTCATGAACTCAGTGACATTATGAAACGGATGCAGATTTATAATGGGAAAACACAAATTGGGGGGTGGGGGGGATGGTTTTATATTAAAACAAAGCTTGTTGCATAATATGCCTCAGTGTAAAGCTGAGCAATCTATGCTAAAAGTGGTAGCTCCATCTTTAAATGTGGTAGAGTTGTTCACATTGGTCTGAGAATTATTTGACAAGTTAAATCACATTTTCAAAGAGCTGCATGGAGCGCATTATATTTTCATCCTGTAAGAGAGAAATAGAAAAGCACTAAATTCAGTATATCTGCAGTGGGAAGTATACAGTTGTAGCCTCCTTTGTATTGACTTCTGCCAACAGCACACATTCTCTTTGCAAGACGCAAACGCCATTCTAGTCATTTCTCTGGTACACTACCATAAAGGCCTGTTCTATGTTTTCTTGTGTCTAGCAGGCTTAAAATACGTCATTTAAATTTTTCTTTTTATTAGCAGAGGATATTTCTCAAATCATAAAGCCAAAATGTTAATAGAGTGCAGGGCTAAATGAAAAGGAGCAAATAAGAATTTTGACATCATGGTCAAAGGTAGATCACAAACCACATCACAGTCTTAAACCCAGGAGCTGGCAAACAATTTTGTAGTGGATGTTTCTAGTGACCACATCACCTTTCCCTGCCTGCCAGTGATGACTAACACTGTGCGGCCTTTAGGAACCTTTAAAAATGAAAGTGTTCTCAGTGCCAGAGAGAGATTCACTAAGTTTTAACTGTTGCAGTGGCTGGATTCATATTAGCATATTCTTAAGGAATGATAAACTGGATATTTTATAAACACTTAGAAATTACATGCCATATGCTCTTTGTGGGCTGTTTATCCTCATAAACGGTAGCTGCAAAGTCAGTCATTATAGTCACTTACATTGCAGATAATTGTACAATGTAGCATGAGGATAGGGATGGGAGGGGGAGGTGGGGGGAGAATGGTAGAAAGAGTGGCCCTGATAAAGAATCTAACATGCACGGACTTGTAACCTCTTTGTACAACTACCTAATAATAATAATATAAAAAGATTAAAAACTAGTTAATAATTTTAAAAATACACAAAAACAGGAGACAGAGAAGTTTCAGCAGAGCACAAATAAGTGTCTCTTAATCAGGCCAAAAAATAATAATTGTGGCTGAAGAGTAATGGCTTAGAAACAAGTAACAAACATCACTACGAAGCAATCTGCTGAAGTTGATTCTTGCAAAGACATCTTTGAAATAGCTGAGAAATGAATAGGCATCAAGAAAAGTGAATGTGATGAGCAAATAAAGTGAAAACAAGAAGTACAATAAACTTTCCCTATACTTATTTTTAAAGTTCTTCACTATGCTACCCTCTAGCAAGCTAACACTGATTTCTCAGATGGCCATTCATAACCCACTTTTTTCCACTGAGTATTTGCAACTCTATTTTTTTTTTTTTTTTGTAACTGAAGACCTACTGGGTTCAGCCCATTTCTTTTTTTTTTTATTGTGAAAATACTGTACAGAGGGGTTACAATTACATGGGCAAGATAATGAGTACATTTCTTGTCAAGCATTGCAACCTTCTCCTTTACCCACATTCATGAAAGCAATCTTATCTGTCTTTAAAAAAGCACATAAGCTTCATGCGTACTTTGCTGTGCTGGCATGTCGTTACATATCATATGCTAAGTCATGGAAAGGAGGAATTCCAATTGTCTATGTAAAGTTAAAATACTAATGGGTAAGTTTTATATTTCTAGGACTTCCAACATGACCTACCTCAAAGAGAGATACTCTCAAAAGTTGACTGAAGAATGCATAAATTGGTGCTTGTTTTCAGAATATATCAAGGCTATTTGCCTGCTGTAGAAATGCCAGACTCAGGAAAATATAAAATATTTGGCTCAGTTCATGTTAGCTAACTAGCTATACTCATGGTGGCTGTTAGGAAAACAAAAAGGCTAATTTTTCCTCTCATGACTTACTTTTTGGCAACTTTCGATGAACTCATCTATGGTAACAACCCCATCTTTATTTTTGTCCATTTTCTGTTGAGCAGGAAAAACAGCATTATCATTCAAACTTACTTCTTTATACCCCTTTGATACCCACTGAACCTGAGGTGGAATGGAGGGAAGGCTAGCTTGCCCATCTGCTGATTTATGTGAAGTAACTAGTATAGCAGAAATACAGTGATTTCTTAGAACCACATGCAAATTGTTCCAGGCTGTATTCTCTAGAGTCAGTCTGCCCTAGGTAAGAATTCTGTTTTGTCAACATAACTGAGCTCAGGCAATCTGCTGAATCTTTCAGAGCATGTGTAAAATGAAAATAGTGAGAATTTATAATATCACAGAGGTCTGACAACTGGATGAAAATAGCTTGTGTCTCGATTTCCATAGACCTTCCATGGTCTTAACTCAGTATGTTGTAATTGTGTGGACAGGTAAAATCTTGTTTTCTAAACATATCAGAGCTTAAGCAATTTACTGAAACTTTTGGATCCCTGTTTCCTCCCTCCCCCCGCCCTTCCAGTCTGTAAAATGAACAAAATGAGAATTAGTCATTTCAGGGGGCCCTTGTGAGAACTGGGTGAAAATAACTAGTGGAACGTGAGATTTGCTCGTTTCTACTTAGGGTATAGTGAATGTTTGGTAACTATGGTTGCTAGTGCTACAATAATTTCAGAAAGAACTGCCAAATGAGTGAAAGGGTGTTATTTTATCCTTCTTAGTAAAGATTATTTTTCCTTTTCAGTATCTAGAATCATGGCATGTTGCAAACCTTAGGAAACCTGTTCATGGTTTCCCTCCCACCATCTGTGACTTGTGTTTACATTCCTACCTGAAAGAATGTCTCCACATGCTGTCTGGGAGCATCTTCTTTGAGGACAGGATATGTGCATTTACCCATCATGTCATAAATGGCTTTCATTATATCAAGCATTTCCTGAAAAGGAAAGATACCTGCATGACGCTGCATACTGAGTACGAACAAACTAAGAAGCTATGACAAACTGTTTTCAATAGATTCTCCATGAGGTGCCTGCGGGTTTTCCGTGGATGAAGGCAGTAAACAGACTTTTGCCTTAAAAGAGGCAGAATCAGAATATCAATCCATTTTGATCTTAGTTCAAAAACGGAACAGATTCCTGTGTGTCTAATGGGGGACAAGAAAGGAATGTTCTGGATTTCCACTGTTTTACTGAGTTACATATTTGTACATTATTAATAATTGTTAATGATTCTTATTGTAAGTTGGAAATGATAATTATAAATTATCTATGAGCTACCTAGATATTAACACATCAGTTTACAATACCAGGTGTTGTGTGGCCCATACTCAGCCTGGGTAGGATAAGATGATAGCACTTTCATCCCTTGAAGATCATTATGAAAGTGATGTAGACTCTTGATCGACAGGTAACAAAGTAGAACATGGCAAATGAATGACTTCATTGATGTCAGAAGCTAAACATGCCAAAACTCGTTAATCTCAGTGCCTGCTCCCCTCCATACTCCCTTAGGTACATCCGCTCTTCTTTATCATGATTACCAGATATTCCTCCTCATCACCAGCTCAAAACTGGCAAGGAGAGGAAACTACACAGAATCCTAAATGGTTCAATAGTGTCGACTGTTCATTTTAGAATTAACTCAATTTTTCTGTGGGAGAAAATGTTTAGTAGACAAGGAAAAGATATAAAACTGTATAATGAACATTTATACTGTAGAAACATTCTGTGAAGCTTTTGTTACAAATGTTGTAGTTAAGCTCGAGCGTGCTCCTGTACAGGAAGTACTGACTGGGATATATTCCAGACACTGAGCACTTAATATTTACAAGGCCTTCAGTTAGCCCCATTGGTCATACTATTCTCATCTTTGTGGCCTCTGTCTAACACACAGAACCCCGGAGTACTTAATCAAGCCGGGTGTACACGTCCCTCTGTGTGCCTGATAGAGCAGGTTCACGTCACTGATCCTCAACCCTTTTTGTGAGTCCCTTGTTTAAAATTCAACTCTAGAGAAGCTGTTGAAGTACAGAGAGAAGCAGATCATTTGAACGTGGCGTGTGCGGAGGATGTGACCCATCTGCACATTCTATATGGAGTCAGCTTGTAACTTGTCCTTTGCAACTTGGCAGTTAGTTTAACCAATGTGTCACAGGAGCATGCTAATCTGGAAGTTACCTTTCACATAGAACCTGCCTACAAGTGTGTTTGGAGAATCCACTATTATATCCAGTTATTCCATAGGACAATTTCTGGATTGGAAAGTTCGGTTTCCATATATGTCTGTGTGGGTATGTGTATGTGCAAATTTTAGACCAAATATTCAAACATGGTTTGGAAACATATTCTCCCATCTCATTCTGACTATAATTTTTATTCCATTTCCAGGACTTCTTAAAATAGTATGCAAATAACTAGATGGAAGATCTGTTTTCTTCAGGGAGTGACTATAAACAAGTCCTATCCATCCTACATTTTTGTTCTAGTATGTCTTTCTACCATCACTGCATAAAATACTTAGGATTTCCTGAAAAGATGATTCTTCAGACTAATAATTGCCATTGTTTAATGTAAAGAAATGAAACTAGTCCAGTGGATAAGTATATTGATGAGGCATTGCTTACTTCTTTAGTGATGTAGCCATCTTTATTAATGTCATACAAGTTAAATGCCCAGTTGAGTTTTTCTTGTACTGTCCCCCGAAGTAAGATGGAAAGACCTTTGATGAAATCCTAAAACAGAAAATGACCGTTTATAATGATAAAATTTGGTCTTGAATAATAGAAGCAAAAGTAACACCACTTTGGATTTTGAACAGTTAGTTAAATTAGCTAATTAAGCAGAGTTCTTGGTGGCCATCAACAAGGCTCTTGCCTTAACATTCTCACCATCTTAGTTGGAAACGGTGAGTTGAATCCATGCTGGTGCTGGGGTATCCACATGGCAGGACACCTGGGTATGAGTGACTTTACCAGCGTGCACCATTTATAGAAAAGGATCTAATGATACTGTATTTAAAACACTCATGTTCACCTACCACCTTTCCCATGAAAATGATACAAGAAAAGCAGGCTATCCACAGGAGACCAATTGTAGTCTTATTATTAGAATGAACTGATTGTACAAAGGGCTTTCACCATATTTCTATAGATCATATAATCTAATTGATTATAGTCACTCCTGTTGCGCTTATCCTGTTGCTCTTTTTATATAATTTAACAGGCTTCATTATTCTCTTTTCATGCAGGCAACTCAGTGTACTTCATCATTTTCCCCCCACTCTTGTCTCCACTACCATGTCTCCCTTCCACTTTGTCCTTCCTATTGCATTACCTCTTTTATATTCATGTCATCCCTATTTTAGATCGAGATACTGTATATGAGAGAAAACATGCACTATTTTTCTGAGTGACTCATTTTGGCTGACAAGATGATCTTCAGTTCCATATGTTTTTCTGAAAATGATATATTTTCAACCACAAAAACCCTCAGAGTAGTTTGCACAGTTACCTTACTGCATGAGGTAGTTATATATATTCTTTTGTGTATGAAAATGACCAGGGTGAGATCTATACCGCATTTTCCCTCACTTATTGGTAAAAGCAGGAAAAGATATAGGGATATGGCTTTATAATAACTTGGTTTTGTTCAAAAGTGACCTTTATTCATCTGGCAAGCTTTTGCTGAGTTTCTTAGTGACAGGCAATATACCAGGAATATCTTGCTGGCTTCTTTGCTGACAATCAAAGACCACCATGGTTGAGACTGACACCTTGTGGGGAAGTTTCAATGATGTCCAGATGGAAAAACTTAAATCACCAAAGTTTGAAAAGCTTTAGAGAAAGTCATCATGTCAAGTGCATGTCTTCTTTTCTACTTGCTTACATGATTTAAAAAAGAAAAAGCATATAGGTGGTTTATTTTCTCTAGTAAGACCTCCCAGAATGGGCCAGAGAGTGGATGAACTACTAAATATTTGAAAGATATAATTTCAGGAACTGTCTAAAGCTTGCATTTACTTGGAATTAAAAATGTATCTCTAAAATAACAAGAAAAATATTTCCCCTAGTTTCTATCATGTAGAAGACAATTTGAAACAAAATTATGTCCGCTAAATATGTTAGTATTCTTAAAGGTGATTTTAAGTGTATTAAATTATAAGGAAGTGCTTTATTTAGTCTCACAGATGGCTTTCAAGATTGATGAATTTTATAGTAGTACTTATAACCGTAAATAGCATATAAATCCAACATATTCTAGGAAAATATAAAAATTATAGTAAATCTAATCACATATAATCCTGATAGCTATATACATTAAACATTTCCATTCTTTCACATGTACACGTGAGTTTCGTTTAAAGATATAGACATGAATATATGTATATTAAATATTTATATCTATACTAAACATAAATATTTTATTCAGTGTATAACATATGCACTGAATATATATTATATGTAATGTATTATTCAGTGTGTTTTACTTAAAATTAATTATATGTTCTTTCCTAAGTAACAAAGTTCATTATGACATCATTTAAATAATTACATATTCAGTTCAACCATAGGAAATTGCTGATACTTGATAATAGTTGCCAAAAGGATGAATTTCATATGGCTTGACCATATGCAGTCACATAACTTCAAACCACAGACTAAGGTAAGAATTACATTGTAAATGACTACTTAGGATAAACACACATTCACACAACTGTACACTAGAAGCTATAATTATTATTCTGATGTCTCTTTCCCTCTTTCCTCCATGAATTTTTTTTTTTTTTTTTGGTCTGTTCGTAGGGCCTGAACTCTGGGCCTGGGCACTGTCCCTCAGCTCTTCAGCTCAAGGGTAGCGCTCTACCACTTGAGCCACAGCGCCACTTCTGGCTTTTTTCTTTTTTTCTGGCTTATGTGGTGCTGAGGAATCGAACCCAGGGCCTCAGGCATGCAAGGCAAGTGCTCTACCACTGAGCCACCTTCCCAACCCCTCCTCCATTAATTTTTTAAAAATATTATGTGGTGTTCTCTAATTTCAATACTAATGGTTACAACCTGAAATTTTTTTTTTTTTGGTCAGTCATGGGGCTTTAACTCTGGACCTAGGTGCTATATTCCTCCACTCTTCAGTTCAAGGCTAGCTCTCTACCACTTGAGCCACAACACCATTCCCAGTTTTCTGGTGGTTTATTGGAGATAAGAGTCTCATGGACTTTCCTGCCCTGGCCAGTTTTGAACTGTGATCCTCAGATCCCAGTTTCTTGAGTAGCTAGGATTATAGGTGTGAGCCACAGGTGCCTGGCTTACAATTTGAAATTTCTAATACTGCTTTGTGATATCAGAGATATTTCACCATCGTTTTCTATTGTTGGATATATAAATTTTAATTTATCTTTAAATGATGTGGTGGTAAATATTTCTGTTTCCTTCATTTTGACTTATGTTCTTAGGGAAGGAGTGAGATTTGTGGGTATTGAGTTGCTGGTGGGGAAAGTTCATAGTAAAAGTGACTATAATTAGCAATGAGCCTTGTGGGATGGTTGGTATCAGGTAGCTCCTGTGTACTAGTTAGTGTTCCCAGCCTCATCTATGGACTGTGTAATGTTATACAAGAGGGTGCTCAGAGACAATGAGTGACTGAGCCATAAAATAAAAGGCTCTGATGAACTGGAAACTGAATTCACATCTCTGATTCAAACACTAAACTACCATTTAAGCCAAAACTGAAGCAATGGGCTGTAATTATATAGAATAATATGCTATGAATATATGTTCTGTCCCTTTTCCTGGCTGTACAGGACATAATTGAAATAATGACTAAAGTGATTCCAATTCAATTACTAGTGACATTTTTAGAACATCTAGAATGTGAGAGAAATTCATAATTCCTGACATAAAATTACTGTTTTAAAATTTGGAAAATGGTCTTAACTGGATATGAGGTACTGGGAGAATAAGATTATTCTAACAGTTACATGTCCAGGAACACTACAACAGACAGATACTGGTTAAAAATCTGTCAGATCAGCCAGCTGTTAATCAAGATCTCAGATCTTACTAATATTAACTTGTGCTTTCTCTGTGCCAGGCAATTTTCTAAACGCTTTAAGTCTATATTTAATCTTAATAGCTTTGATGGAAGTATGACACAGAGGGACACGAGCCAAAAGGAAGAGTTCTTGTCTGTCCAACTACAACAGTTTGGGTGACGATATGCACAAAGTCACGCTGGGTTATAACCCAAAACATAGAATAGATATTCATGGTTCTACAGTGATATAAATAAGGGGCTGAATAACCTAACAAATAGGAGAAAAGGGACAAATCACCCATGCAGAAAAATTCCAAGTGAATTAGATGTTTTACTCTTAAGGAAATAGAGCCCACACCTCCAGTTTTTGTTTTGTTTTTTTAATCTGTGGATTGTTCATGATATATTTTTTTTTGGTTGGTCGTGGGCCTTGAACTCTAGGCCTGGGCTCTGTCCCTCAGCTCTTCAGCTCAAGGCTAGCACTCTACCACTTGAGCCACAGCGCCGCTTCCGGTTTTCTGATGGTTTATTGGAGATAAGTGTCTCACGAACTTTCCTGCCTAGGCTGGCATTGAACCGCAATCCTCAAATCTCAGCCTCCTGAGTAGCTAGGATTACAGGTGTGAGCCACTGCCGCCCGGCTCTGTTCATGATAATTTTTAACAAAGTGAAGTAGGAGGAGAAAGCGTAAAGGGAAATGTGATAAATACCACTTCAGCTAGATGGCCAAAGTCCATCAGTAGTCCTAAGTCATTTTAATAATATATTCCTTGGCTCTTATGTGATTAAAAATGGCACTTTACCTCTGTGATCTTCCTGCCTAACACACACAGCCCCAGTTAAATCATGAGAAAAACATCAGACACATTCCCAGATGAGGGCCCTTCAGAAATATATGATCAGCTGTTCTTCAAAAAACTGTCAAGCCCTGGTGAGTATGGGAGGGGAAACAGGAGAAAAGGAGGAATCAGGGAACGCTGTTCCACAAGAAATATACGCATCACCTTACTTATGTAACTGTAACCCCTCTGTACATCACCCTTGCAATAAAATAAAATAACAAGTGCTTTAATAGGAAAAAAAAAAGTCAAGGTTGTTAAAAAGCCAGAAATTATGAGTACCTGCTACAGCCACCATGGGCTGCAGAGGCATGGCTAAGTGAAGTGTGGAAGAGACTAAGTGAAATGTCAACTGAATGGCATCCTGGGTCCAAAAGGAAACAAAGCTGGAATTAACTGAAAGCTGAGGAAATAAAATGTGAATGTGTGTGTCCATAGTGTGTCATTAACTGTCACGACAGCCCTATGAATAGGTGATACGATGTGAGTTGCCTCTTGTCTTCGTAATGGTTCTGTCTATAAACTTTTGGTCTTAAGTTGCTTTTTGCTGTTGTTGGTCATGAGGCTTGAACTCAGGGCCTGGATGCTGTCCTTGAGCTCTTTTGTTCAAGGCTAGCACTCTACCACTTTGAGCCACAGTGCCACTTCTGGTTTTTGAGTGGTTAATTGGAAATAAGAGTCTCGTGGGGACTTTCCTGCCCCTGCTGGCTTTGAACCATGATCCTTACTCAAATCTCAGCCTCCTGAGTAGCTAGGATTACAGATTACAAGAGTGAGCCACTGGTGCCCAGCTAAATTGCTTTTCTAATGGATTTTGAAAAGAAGAAAATGGATGTCAACAGCAGTAGGAAGATGCCCAGGTGATGAACCCATGCTTTGAGAGGAGCTGAAGTCTACAGAATTTTGTCACGGTAAATGGGAGAACATAGTCTCCACCACCACAACAGTTCTGATTCTTTTGCTAATCATCGGCAATCTCAAGAGTAATAGAGTTGATAAATATTAAGTAAATCTCCATGTGTGTGTGTGTGTCTGTCCTGAGGCTTGAAATCAGTGCCAGAACTGTCTCTGAGCTGCTTTTGTTAAAGGCAAATGCTTTACCATTTGAACCACAGCACCACTTCCTGCTTTTTCTGAGTAGTTTATTGGAAATAAGACTCTCGGTTTTCCTGCCTGGGCTGGCTTTGAACCGTGATCCTCAGATCCTCAGCTTCATGAGTAGGTAGGATTATAGGCATGAGCTACCAACACCTGGCTTTGAACCTAAGTTTTACTTCTACTTCCTCTCCAGTGAAAGCAGAGCTCCCCAGAATGTTAGAGAACCAGCATAAGGTAATAATAGGAAGCAGAGGGTATGTGTGTGTGTGTGTGTGTGAGAGAGAGAGAGAGAGAGAGAGAGAGAGAGAGAACGGAGGGTAAAGGTTGGAGGCTTTGAGGGACATGTATAAGATAAAACTCAGTGACTGATAAATCAGATAAAATTCTAGACCAAGGGGATACATTTCTTAAAATAATACCTCCCATTATTTTGAAAGAAAATAACTAATTTGACCTCAGCATTTATTTTGGAAAAAACCCCACAGTCACAGCTGGTGTTTTTATAGAGAAACACTTTCTGTTGGTGCCTTGGATGGCAAAGCTATTAGATTTGGGGTTGGTGGTATTTGTTTCCACTGAACAGCTCTGGGGTACGAGGCCCACATTCTGTCGTATGAATTGGACTGCCAGTGAATGGCATTTTTCTGTCACTTTTAACTGGCAGCTCTGGAGTCACATGATCAGCTATATGGACCACGCTGTGGACCTATTCCAGAATTGTAAAGAACAGAACATGTTAAAACTTTAATATACAACATAGCTTGCATACTTGGGAGATTCTAGGCAATGTGTATTATGATGGTACTGTCAAATAGTCAGTTGTATAGGTAACAATAATGTCATTAATCAGTGATTTTTTGGACTTAGGTGTATTACTAAATAGTAATAATGACAGCTGGTGATAGTAATTACATGAATCCAAATTTTACACATCATCTGACGAACATGTGCCTCAAGCTCTCAAGTAGGGCAGAGGCTGTAGAAATAGGAACACAGTTGGAAAATGATGGCCTACCATTTGTTTTTGTAAATAAAACTTTATGAAATCCAGCTACATCCATTTGGTTAGGTATTGTCTATGCTCACAATTGCTCCAAGAGCAGAACTGAATGCATGGCAAGGAGATAATAATGATATCCAGAAAAATTAAATACTATTACATAATTACCTAGATACAATTCCTAAAATAACAAAAGTTAAACAATCATCAGTATGATTGTTGTAAAGCTATTATTACTAGTGGTAAATTGAACATTTAATACAGTTCGTGTTTATTATAATGAGATACAGATATGCCCTGTGTAATATCAGAGTGATCATCTGGCTATTGCATGAAAACATTCAAAAAGAGATTACTGTGTAATGTGATGGCAGTTGTTACTATTAATTATTTTTGTTAGAGAAATTCCATAAGTAATTATTATGGTTAACATCAGTAAGTGTTGGCCACATGCTTGGTGCTAGAGACAGAGCCAATCCTTTACTGACATCATTACTTTTACATTCTTAAATTGACCTGTGATTTTTTCCTTGCTTGCTGATGTTTTATTGATATGAACATTAAGGCCTGGAGAGTTTAAATACTTAGCCCAAGCCAGAAAGGAGTTTAGATCAAATCATTCTTAAACCCAGGACCTCTCCTGACTTATTTATTTTGCCCTTCAGGTAAAAACAGATTAAGTATGAAATTTCTTTTTTCCTTTATCTGAAAATCAAAATACTCTCCATCTCCCAGTAAACTGTTGATTGCTACTCAAAACATGTTTCTTCTCTAACCTTTCTGTGTCCCAGAGACTTTCTGAGTAGCTAATCAATTTAGGAAAATCAATGTAATAGCCTAGTTTTAAATTTGCTTTCATTTAAACAATTACTAATTTAGCTATTAGTATGCCTTTAGAAGAAAAGGCACTGTACCCACTATGAATTTCACTCATAACTGTCATAACTAATTTCTCAAATTGTAACCAACATTCATCATCATTACTGGCCTCTTACATAAAATTATAAGAGCATTGTTATACGTAATTCCACATTATTAACAGGCTAAAGGCATATGCAAACTTGGGCATACGTGTTACAGGAAAGTACTTCACTGGGTTTTTGTCTCTGTCATCCTCTTTGTCAAATCTGGAACCTTTGACTCTCACATTAGAAGCACATAGAGGCAGTGCTGGAATCATTCTGGGGAGTATACAGGTAACAATAATGTGATATTAAGTGATATTCTCCAGGGCTGTCTACAGTGGAAGAAGCATTAGAGACCATTCACCACCTAGTTCACCCTCACACTGCTCCTCTGCCTCCTACCTCCACCCAACTGCTGCCCCTCAGACAGGCAATGCTATTTTCCTTGTGACAAATGGCAACAGTACCCTCAGAGAACAGCTCGGGACAGATGATCTGCCAGACAGCAGTTCCTGATACTTCTTCCCATTCCTTCAAGTGATGGAGCAGTGGCAACTTGTCCCAAATACCTCCAGACATAAAGTCTTAGATAAGAATCAACCAGGTCCTTCCTGTGACTTTGGACTCTTTCAATGACACATCCCTTCCTCACCTCCTAACCCCAGTTCCAACTCCATTTAGAGTTAAGGCAAATGTTAGTACCCCTGAAGTCAACAGAAGCTGCAGTGCAATACTGTCTTCCCATGGCTGCCAAGTCATCAATCTCCTTCCTCTGCCCTTCCCCATGTTTCTATTTGGCCTACAGGGCTGTGTGCTGGGTCTGACTTTACAACTCTTGGAGTTTGGGTCTCTGCACATAAAAAGTCTGACTCCATTTTCTCTTCATTCCTACGTCTGATATTCTCTTTCTTGGCTTCTGTCTCATGCTTCAGTGTTTCCTATGTCAAACTTTTCCTCTCTTGGCCAGTTTCTGCTTTTCCTTCAGAGTTAATCAACTCACCAGCAGGCTTCCTGGCTACAGCCCCTGCTGGCCCTGGTGCATTGGCCTTGAAAGACCTATTCCATTATTTGATTTTCTCAGTCATGATCCAGTTTCTGCTCACATATAAGCTGCATCCTCCTTCACCTGTGTTCAAAATATGCCTCCGAAATTGCATCACTTTTAGTATATTTAGATATCTATGTTGTGTATGTATGTATGTATCTATCCATCTATCTACCTACCTACCTAAGATAGAATTACAAAGTGAAATAATTCATTATGGGATAATTCTGTGCCACAGAAACCAAACAGTTATTTAGAATATAAACCAACAGATGAGTAATACATTGTACTCCTTGTTTTCCCCCATAATAAAAGGTACTTGTCTTACAGATGATCAAAGTTAATGTATGATTATTTTAGCTAGCAGTTTGTTTCAGGGATATTACTACCTATGACCTGCTATGGATCCAATGAATCACAGTGACGACCTCATTGTCTCTATGTGATGAATATCTATCACTGTATATAAGTGTGTTTCATGAGCATCCATAACATATTTCATTCTCCTAGATGCTTATATACAGTATTTCAGGGAGCAACATTGCATGTTTTCTACAGATCACTCCATTTATACACTTAAAAGTCATTTCCTTATCAACTTGTCAGGCTGGTGAATACAGTATTTTCTGTATTTATTTTCTTGTCTGTGCCACTCACTTGGCTTTCCACAGAGGAACTTTTGAGTCTATTATCTTTGTATTTCCAAGGCCTACCACAGTAAATGGCCCATGGTAGTTGCCAGAAAATGTTGGCTCACTCAGTTGTTTCTGGGATTGTTCTAATAGAGTCGATGGAAAACACACTCAAACAGATGTAAGATATTTTCAAATAAACTACCCCGTGGATTGTTATTTGTATTTTGAAAGAGAAGAGCAGCTTCTTGGCAGTTGAATCAGAGGAGAGCCCTTGAGCTTTTCAAAAATGATCAAATCACCTACCCCCAATTTTCCCACGAAGAAGATTAAAATCCCTTTCCAAGTATCAAAAGACGCAAAAGTCTCACCTCAAAACTCACAGCTCCATTGTGGTCTGTATCAAATGCATTGAAGAGAAAATGTGCATATGTTGTACAGTCTGAAATGCCAAAAAGAGAAGAGCATTCAGTTAGTATTTCCATGGCTACGGGAGACTCGGCTAGCAGGTTCAAATCCCTTTTATTTACAAAACAAAAAAAAGAGGAGAAAAATAAATTTTACTTTTTTTTAGCTTGTGTTTTCTTTCCAACTAAATGGCCACCCTGTCTCGGTAAAGGGTTGAAACTTGAGATCCAGAAGATAGACAAAAGACAGGAACATGATCAGAAACCGCAGCTGACATTCTCTGTGAGTTTCTGGCTGGACACATGAAAGCCTTGGATATTGAGTAGCAACACTGGGGTGATGGTCTCATAGATGAGGGTGGAGATTAAGTGACGTGTGCCTGGAATTGGCTGATGCTTGGCACAGGCTCTTTCTAGAGGTAATGTGCATATCAACGATGAGCTGTTCTTAGTAGAGTACCTGTTCTTATTGAGACTTAAATAATACTAGAAATCATAGAAGGATATTGGGACTCAGAGAGACTAAGAAATGTGTCCAGGGCTGGGAAGATGGCTCTGTGGTAGAGTGCTTGCCTTGCATGCATGAGGCCCTGGGTTCAATTCCTCAGTACACATAAACAGAAAAAGCTGGAAGTGGTGCTGTGGCTCCAGTGGTAGAGTGCTTGCCTTCAGCTAAAGAGCTTGAGGGACAGTGCTCAGGCCCTGAGTTCAAGCCCAGAGTTTTGTTTTGTTTGTTTTTAAAGAAAACGTGTCCAAAGTCACAATCCACAATCACTAAGGGGTTGGTCTGAGATCTGAAGAATCTGAGTCAGAGCCTCTGGCCAGACTAGTCAGTTGATGGATTGAGAACAGCAGTGATTTAGACAATGTCTGAGGCAATAGGTGATCCTCAGGATCCTAGATGGCTCATCCCTGTGAGCCTTGCTACTTGGGGAACTGAGAACCGAAGAATTGAAGCTCAAGGCTAGCTGGGGCAGAGAAGTCTAGGAGAGACTGCCTTGAAAATAACCAACAAAAAACAGGGCTAGAAGTGTGACTAAATTGGTAGAACACCAGCCTAGAAAGTTCAAGGCCCTAGGTTTAACTTCCTCTCCCTCTCCAGAAGCCCCTACCCTGTGTGATCCCTGGGGAGGATTTTCTGTTCTGGGTTGTAGGGACCAGTATGAATAGTCCTCTATCCCCCCTTTCTTAGGCTGCTTTCTAAGGACACCCACATCCTTTGAAATCCAGCTCTTCCTCTCTGTTTGAGCCTCACACCCCCTTTCTCTCCCTAATCTAGCTCATCTCTTTTCTTATTTAAAAACTGTATTTTTTTTTCCTTGTTGCTTTCTTAGTGCTCAGCTCTCATTCTAAAGTGCTTTTGTGCTTGACCTTGGATTATATTTACATGATTATTTTAAATGTTTCATCTCTTGGGTTCTAGCCTTTTGTCTTAACCTTTTGTTTTGTAAGAAAATGTAACCTTTTAGCTCATTGGTTCTAGCATTTTATTGTCTGCTGCAAGTCTCATCTTTTTTTTATTTCCTGACTTTTAGCTTGTATTTTTATTGGGATTTAATAAAACTTCAATACAGTTTTCCTTTATAAATTGATTTTAAAGGGCTACCAAGAAACTAAGAGCAGCAGGAATTGAGAATTGCCTTGTTTGATTAAAGAGGTGGCTCTCTCCTCTTTCCCAGTAGCACTGCTCCACTTATTTGAAAGTTTTTATTTTCTGCCAGAATCCAAGTTTCTATGGGACTATGGAATACTTTGAGATTGTTTTCCTGAACACTTCAGGAAATATATCACAGTTAATGATATAGAAATGCGTGCCTTTCATGAGGCAGACCACATACTCAATTTCTCAAAATATGAGTGGCATGTCAACTCATCTCTTACCATGAAATAAAATATGAACGGCCATTTATTTATTTAGTTGGGGGGGGGGTCTGATACAGGGCCTTGAACTCAGGGAACTGTGTTTTGTTTGACTTTTCACTCTGGTGCTCTATTACTTGAGTCATGCCTCCTCTTTGGAGATAAAGACTCTCAGACTTTTCTGCTTGGTCTGTCTTTGAAGAGGGGTCCTCAGATCTCAGCCTGTTGAATAGTTAAGATTACAGACATGACCCACCAGTGACATTTGGCTCAAAGTCACTTATTTTTTTATTATAGAAATTGCTAACATTATATTTAATGAACTAAGCAGACACCATCATTTGTCTTAAACAATAAATAAAACCATCATGTTAGAGTGGATGTCTAGCTAGCATTGATGGATTACAGGAAGGAATCTTTTGGATGTGGAACCAGAGGTTTGATGGGCACTTGGCTAAGTGCAATTGTTGGGCTGTTCCATTATGGAAGAATCAAGGTTGATGGCCAATTTTATTTTGCAAAGTTGTTTTGCACTCAACAGTACTTTTTCATAGATTTCTTGAACTATTCAACACCTTCTATGGAGATAGGAGCTGTTAAGCATTATGTTAAATTTATTTTCAGGGCTGAAAAAAGAAGAGATTTTTGCCTGTTTTATAATGAGCTTCATTTGCTTAATGGTCTCTTGCTACCCTGTTTACATAATCAAGGCAAATATCTTTATCGAAGTGAGCAACAACTCACTGTGAGTAATAGCGCTGAGTAGATAATGTTTGCATTTAACAAGGTTTTCAAATCACAGTCATGTGGCTACATGATAATTACTATTATTCCTGAATGGGGTTTCCCTAGTTTGCAAGTTTGGCATCTGGTAATGACACTTAGAGTTCACTAATGTGGCACAGAGGATTTGTTCTTCTCAGTGCTCTTTGGCAATTCTTCTAGAAGTTAAGCCAATTTTCCAGGCTACATTTCATCACGGAAGCTTTCGTTAATGGTAGGGTGGAGGCAGAGTGCTTGAACCTTGTATCTCAACTTTAGCAAAGCTTAACCGTGAGACCTTTACAAATCAACGTTTCTTTGACTCAATTTCTCTTTCTGCAAACATAAAATATAAAGTCTTCATGGAATTTAAATGAGATACTATATTAATATGTGAAATGTTTGGGAACTTGTTAAATATTAAAAAATATTAGCTCATCCCATTATTCTTTCATAAATAATCCACACTCGTGTCAATTGCATAGAAAAGTTGTGATCTATTCTTTTATCAAAGTGTAACATCTTCACCTATAAAGTTCCTGGTTTCAAGAAATCTCTATGTATCTCAGGGACTGGAGTAGAGCTGTGTAAAAGAGCATATGTTTAGTTTTTCGAGTTAACATATGCTTAGAATTATTATGAGTTGAGTTTTTCCTTTTTATTTTAGTCTTAAGTGTCCCAAGTGCCTTGCATACACTTGCTTCCCAGTGAATATTTACTGACAGATTTTTTTCACTTACGCCCATTCCCATTCATTTATTCCCTTAGTAGCTAATTAAAGACCTATTATAGTCAACCTACATGCAAAAACTCTATGACACAATTAAGAAGAGCTGAGAAGCTGCAGTTTGCATGGACTTCCATTGTTCATGAGTTGAGAATTATCCCCACCATCTTGTACCATACATAGGTAGAGTTAGAATAGTATTTCTGTAACTATTTAATGAATAGTCCCAAGCCTCTGTCCTTGCTTTAGAGTATGTGTACTTCATTCTCTTCAAACAACATGTTTCTATTTAGCTAGTCCAGTTTTTCTGATATCCATCAAGAACACCAAACTTGTGATGCCTGGTAAAGTCCCTGTGTCTTTGAGAGAGGTACAAGCCTGACATAAAACATATTCCATGAGGTGTTCTGTGCAGAAGGAAAAGCATTTTCATGGGGAAATGTGTGAGATAGTCTAATGAACAGACACCTAGCTGTTAATGTTCCTAACAAGAGAAACCTGTTGCTTTCGGACATTCTATCGCAATAAATGATGCGCACATGCGGAGCATGGCTATCACATGATTCTCCTGCATCTGAGACGGTGCTCTTTCTTCCTGGGGATAATTTCTGTTGCTAACATCACTGTAAGACACAGTTTGCTGGAGTAATAGTAACTAATGTTAAAATTCGAAGTCATCAATCTTTAAAATATTTCATTCCCTTCAAAGATGCCTGGTACTTTTAGATTTATGAATTCAATTAACATGAATAATCAAGGAATTTGCAAGAGTAAAAATGATTTTTTTCCTCCCCAAATCCCTTTGGGCTTGTAACAAGAATCCTCTGCCAAGTTAAGTATCTCTGTGTAAGCAGACATTCTGTAATGTGGGAATGGCGGTTTTGAAATAATGATACCATGTTAATGTGGAGCTGTATTCAGTTTGTAGCAATGTAATAACTTGATTTGAAGCAATTAAAAATAATGATCTCCATCTGTGTTGGTGTTGCGGTACCCATACCTGTCAGTATGTCTGCAGAAACTGAGATGGTCCAAGATGGTTGGTTATTAAAAAATTCTTCTGGGTACTGGTGGCTCATGCATATAATCCTAGTTACTCAGGAGTAACTAGTCCATGAGACTCTTAGCTCCAACTAATCACTCAAAAACCAGAAGTGGTGCAGTGGTTGAAAGTGGCAGAGCACTAGCCTTTAGCAAAAGAGCTCAGGAACAGTGCCCAGGCCCTGAGTTCAAGAATTTAAAATCATGTAGAAATATATATGAGGCAAATAAATGCTGCTCAAATTGGTCCTTCATTAAAGAAGACAGTGGGTATGTTAAAATCATCGCTGTAACACTCTGGGGTCTCTTAGAACCACTTCCTGTGTGTTATGTAGTGGTGGAGGTCACAGGGTAATAGTCACCTGTGGAATAGCCACGCCTATAGAATAACAGGTATTCATGTGTCTCCTGAGAATTCTATTTTAAGTCTTTAAAAACTTGTCTTTAAAAATCCCTCTGATTTGACAATTCATGCATAGAATTGTCTTGTTCTCATGGAAATGGCCCGAACCATATGCATTAGAAACTAAAGGGAACTGTATTTTTGCATAAAATGACAAATATTCAAGAGCTGTGTACTGTTCAATACCTTTTACAAACATAGCTACCATGTCACATGGGTGACACTCATTCATTCATCCATCCATTCGTTCATTTTGCAAGAAGTACCTATCAGGTGTTTTTTAAATATATATTTTATTGTAAAAATACTGTACAAAGGGGTTACAGTTACGTGAGTAAGGTAATGAGTACATTTCCTATTGAATTGTTACCTTCTCCTTTGGTGTAATTTTTTTTAACTAGTCATTGTCTCATGAACTTTGGATATAGCAGTAGAGAAAACCGCTACTGCTATACTTAATTATATCAGAATTGACTTCAATGACATCTATCAATAGACTTTTTGGTTATAGCATCCTGTCTCTTTGTTTTTATTTTCAGTACTTTTTTTTCAATCTTCCTTTATTTATTTATTCTTTTTTTTGTTGGACGTGGGGCTTGAACTCTGGGCCTGGGCAGTGTCCCTCAGCTCTTCAGCTTAAGGCTAGTGCTCTACCACTTGAGCCACAGTGCCACTTCCAGTTTTCTGGTGGTTAACTGGAAATAAGAGTCTCATGGACTTTCCTGCTTGGCCTGGCTTTGAACCGCTATCCTCAGATCTCAGCCTCCTGAGTAGCTATGTGACCAGCTGTGACCTCCTGTGACAGGCTATTCCTTTTTTTTTTTTGTAAATTTTCTTTAAGTTATTGAACAAAAGCATCACCATTTAACAAAGTAGTTTAGGAATACAATGTATCTTGATCAATGTCACCCCTTTCCATATTCTCACCCATCCCTCCCCTACTCACCCCTTCTCTCATTCTTCTTAATTTTGTAAGCTATACATTGCATTCCTGCATTCCTGACTGCATTCTTCCCTTCTTCTCCTCTTCATTTATCTGTCCTTTTCCCTTTGACCTCCCCCCACCCCTCTCTCAGTGCTTTGCATTGCTGAATTGTGACTTTGTCTTTCTAAAGAATTACACTAAGTTCTCCCTTGAAGCTATTTGTTTCCGTTAATGTATTTGTGTACATAAATACAACACAACATAGTTACTTGTAAGTTTATAAGCTAAATCTAACTTCCATTCTCTTCATTTTGATCAGTCAGTTTTCCTGTGATTATTCCTATCTGTGGCTATACATTATCTCTTTCCTTCATGAATTCCTTAATATGTGCCAATACTTCCAAGCTTGACTCAGAGGGCTCAAAACTTTCTAACTCTTCCCAGTAACCCCATTTACATCATAGACTTAACCACTGCTTTGTAGCAAATAATCCCCAATCTCTGGCTTTTTCTGTGACCTGGAAATTTCAATGAACCTGTTGATTGTAACTAGCCACAGGCACCTCACAGCTATAACAAGGTCATCATCCCTACTATGTTTCTACTCCTCCTGTAACCTCTTTCCTCCTATTAGAAGATCCTGTTATTCTGGAACTTACCATAAAAAGCCAATAAATCTAAAAGCTGCTATTTTCAGTCTATATATCATGTATTTTTTTTTTTTTTTGGTTGGTCGTGGGGCTTGAACTCTGGGCTTGGGCTCTGTCCCTACGCTTTTCAGCTCAAGGCGAACGCTCTACTGCTTGAGCCGCAATTCCACTTATGGTTTTCTGGTGATAAGAGTCTCACAGACTTTCCTGCCCGGGCTGGCTTTGAACCATGATCCTCAGGTCTCAGCCTCCTGTGTAGCTAGGATTACAGGCCACCAGTGAGCCACCAGTGCCCAGTTTCATGTATTTTTTAAATAATTTATTATATATGTCTATCCTTTTTAAAAAATCACATTAGATATTTATAATTGATTCCCGCCTCTCTTGTTTAAAGGTTTTATTTTGCTTCCTCAAATAACCTCCTAATTTAGGTTCTTGTTGACAGTGTCTGCTGTCTTAAATTAATTTTCCAGAACTAGCAGTGAACAATAGACATGCATCTGACCATTATACCTCACCCTTCATCCTATCAGTGTCTTTTAGCATTAGCAAAAGACAAATTCTCATTTCTTAACATTTGCACCCACGGGCTGGGAAGGTGGCTCAGTGGTAGAGCGCTTGCCTTGCTCGAGGCCCTGGGTTCAATTCCTCAGCACCACATAAGCAAAAAGAAAAAAGCCGGAAGTGGCGCTGTGGCTCAAGTGGTAGAGCGCTAGCCTTGAGCTGAAGAGCTGAGGGACAGCGCCCAGGCCCAGAGTTCAGGCCCCACGACTGGACCCCCCCAAAAAAAATAAAAAACATTTGCACCCACGACTCGATGCTTCACCTGAAATCTACTTCTCAAATCACAGCACTTTCTCGCAAACCTTTATTTTTCATGTTTTGTCCTCTTGCTTATCCTCCATATATCTAGGATGTCTGCAGGGTCTTCAAATGCTGGCCGAAATCACCCTCAGCAGGGAAACATCTTTTGAGAGCTATGCTAAGGATCAGAAGGACTAAGAACTTCAGAAATGGATTGACCTGTGGTATCTTCATTTCCATATTTACTCAGAGAAGAGGTCACAGGTTGAATTGGTGTTGATTGGTGAGAGAGGAGCTGCCCAGAGTCAAGCACATATCAGGCGCCCTGAGAACAGACTGAACTTGAGCTTTTTCATTTCTTCCTGATGGTACAATGATGCCCACCTTGCTCTCTCAGAGTAATGTTTTCCAAACTGCGCCATTCCACCTATAATTTATTTTGACATTTTATCTCTGCCACACTAGACAAAAAGATAATATACGTGGGGGCGGGGGGCTAGCTTCCATTGCTGTAATTTCTTTCCCATTAGTGAGACTTCACATGCAACTGGTGCTAGGCTGGGTTGGAGATGGATATCTGCTGAATGATTGGAGGAAAAATGATCTCTTCAGTCATGTCTAAAATGTACAAAACATATTTGTGCTTTCCTGGCGTTAGCTTTCCAATGAAAATCCCACCTGAGTATCACTTTTCTATCAGTGCAGGGGTCACAGTAAAAAAAGGGAAAAAGGACGGCGAGAAATAAATTAGACGAGGCTCCAGGAAAATCAAGGTTATAACCAAGACCTACCACTGAGTTGAAATGTGACCCTGAGCCAACTGTTTAACTTCTCTGAGGTCCAGATTTCATATCTGTAAACTGAAGCTAATTAAATTTTCCCTAATTCTGAGAGTTGAAAACCAAAAAGAATGGTGATGTAAGTTAAAGAGCCTCGTAGCTCTCTCTCTCTCTCTCTCTCTCTCTCTCTCTCTCTCTCTCTCTCTTTCTGTGTGTGTGTGTGTGTGTGTGTGTGTGTGTGTGTGTATCCCTTGCTTATTTTTACTCAAGGTTTCCATTCAACCTCTTGAAGCACTGTTCTAATTTTGGCTCTTAAAAAATTATTAGTAATTGGAGATTCGAGTCTCATTGATTTTCCTGCTCTGTAGGACTTGAAACCACAATGCTCAGAACTCAGCTTCTTGAGCAAAAGTCAGGAGCAGTGAGCTTTTGAGACACGGGACAAGGCACACATTACTTGTATGAAACTTAAATGTAATCTCTTAGATATTTGGTAATTTGGAAGCTGCTCACTTTTATGATACACTGAAACTTCTTTGCACTTGAATGCTGGGTATTAATTATTCTACATAAAGATTTTTAAAATGCAGAAACATGCCATGAAAGATTAACCCAATCTTGAGTTGGCAAGCATAATTCTAACTGCAGGAATATGTTCCCATGTTCCCATTTGTCCTTACCTCCCTGTGGAAAGAACTGGGAGTAAATCTCTTTGAAGGTTTCTTCATTAACAACACCACTGGGACACTCCTAGAGAAAGTGGCAGAAAAGCAATATGAGCAAAGTGTTCATAAAAATGGATATTTTATTGCACATTTTGAAATAGAACTGGCTGCTATGCAAACCTGCACAGAAAAAGTAAAGCAGCCATTCATTATTACAAAGAAAACAAAAGTAAATTCACCTTTCTTTCACGTCTCATGGGATAAAACACACAGTTGAAATGAAAATGTCTTTGTACATCAGAGCAGGTCTAGCATATTTGAAAACACTCGGCTACTTTGAGAAGCACCCATATAGATATGCTATCAATGAGGTAAGGGGAAATTGTGCTATTCTGTATATGAACAAGATATTGAAAGATGCAGTGTCTTCAGGAACTATGCAGTGTGGACCTACATAATCTTAAGTACAATGAGAAAATAATATATTTCTTTGAGAGGGAGGTTCTTTGTTTCAGGAAGCTTCAAGGAGAAACAGCAACTCTGACAAGAATCTTGTAACAAGTGAGCTTAAGTTTTGAACTTGAGAAGGAAGGCTTTGCAAAGGAGCATGGCTCCCTGCGTTTATTAATTTCTCATTTTGTCCACTGGAAGACTTGTTCAAGACCAGAGGATACTGATCTCAAGAACTGTGCTGACATTGGACTACTGATGTGTAGAGGCCATAAGGCAAAGTGAGTGCTACACAAATGGATTTCTTAACATAAATGAAATCTAAACTTTCAGAAGAAGTTGTTAACGTCAGAGCAGAAACAAAGCATTGAACAAGTAACTCCTGGATTGGTGTGAGGGACCCAAGGTGTAGCGTAGAGGCTCCAAGAGAGGTGAAGACTGATTATGGAATCACAGCTCCACCTTGAGCTGCAGGTGGGTGCTCACTGTGCATGGAGGGATGGGGAGTAAGAAGCTCTGACGCCCTCCTTCAGACAAGATTCTCATGATTGGGTGCATGGCCCGAGCGCCTCTCCCTCCTGTTCTCACAGCAAATCCACACAGAAGAATTAAGTAGACAGAACTAAAAGGCATGTCTGGTAAAGGGAAGTCCTGAAATCAACCTGTAGTCACTATGTTTGGGGCAGCCATGGACCACATCTGCATGCTGTAGAATAGTGAGTAGCCCCTGTCTTACCCACCCAGGACCCTTGTCTAAGGACTAGGGTGCATTGCTCAGATCAGAAAGGAGAAAAGCTATAGATAAAGGCCACCCTGGTGAGTACTTTGCTCTCGTTTCCTGTGTGAAAAGCAGGAAATGTTTCCTTCCCCCGCTCCTATTTTTTAAGAAATTTGTCCCATTAGCTAAAATAAATCTTCACTCACAATTCGATGTTAGATTCTCCTGTTTTTGAGACACCTTGAAATGCCATTCACTTGTGGATCTGAAGTGACTGTGACTTTGCATGGAAACTGGTCATTATCCAGGGACTGTCCTATTTAAACCCTGCACTTAGGTGGGGCAGCAGATATGAGCCACTACATCTGGCTACCGTTTGAGATGGTTTCTCACTAACTTTTTGCCTGATGGGTCTCAGACCTCCAGAGCTCCACTCCTCGACTGCTAAAATTCTAGGCTTGAGCCAGGGTGACCCTTTCTGTAGTGATTGAAACAAAACAAAACAAAAAACTTCCTCTAATCCTCATTGTTCCCCATACTAATACGCCTTTTAAAAATTTGTTTGGTCTTTCTTTATTTCAATAAACCAGTTAGATATTTACTCTATGGATTATGTTTCACAAGAGAAACAATCTATTTCTGTGTTTTAGTGGTAGGATCTTTGTTGTGTACATCATTTTACATGTTTGGATGTGAATTTGTCTTTACAGATTGTTAACATAGGATCATGAATAAATCTGTAACCGTTACTTAAACGCAACAGGAGGAAAGAGCAACAATGTTTCCTCTGCTTTGTGTCTGTGTCCTCTGCTCTGAGCTGTTCTTCCTGCAGCGACTTTGCAATCACCTTGGAATCCGCTAAGGACAGCACTGATCTGTTAACATATTGAGGACTAGATCTGCCCTCAGGAAGAGAACAGCTGTTGCTGTCCTTGATTTCTCTATCTTTTGTCTTGTATATGTTTATCTAGTTTGGAGAGGGGATGGGGAAGTTAGAAGTGAAGTATACAACTTTGAGAGGGGGAGGGAGGACAAACGGAGAGAACGAGGGAGAGGATGATGCTGTTCCAAAAATGTACTCATTCTCTGACCTGTAACTGTAACCCCTCTGTACAACACCTTTCCAATATTTTTTTTTTAAAGGAGAGAACAGCAGAACTTCCCCTGGACCCAGAACACTCTGCCCAACACACTGTTTATCTTAACAGCCTCACAATATCTCTGGAATCTTTCCTAAAACTAGAGCTAAGACAAACACCAACCCACCCATGCAAGTCTAGTGCTGTTTATCTACCTATGTCTCCCTCCCTTCCTCTCATTCTTTCTCTATTTGGACCTACAGTTCATATATCCTAAAGACAGTCAAAATACATGCCATTTCTTGTGGCATGACCAAAGCCCTATAATACATCTCTTTTCATACTACTTCATGATTACAGTTATAGTTGATAACTAATTATAATATAATCTATCATATAATATAACCTATCATATGGAACTCCTGCAGTTGGAGTCTATGGCCTAGCATTCCAGTTCAATGGTAGCCAGAATATCTCCACTCACAGAGACAGGTTAGAGGTCTTGAGTTAGAGGTAGTTACTAGCAAGACAGAGGGGACTGAGCAAGGTAGGTTTTGTGTGTTCTAGGTCACTAAAAGCTCTTGTATTGTTGCACTTTGTGGAAACAAGGATGGCTTTGAATACCCAGAGAACTGGAGCAAGGACAAGAACTGACTAAAACTGAGCAAGGACACAGAACACATCAGGATGATGAGTCTTGATATGCCAACAAGTCTGGGCCTCACAGGGCCAAATATTTGGCCACGTATTATTTTGGATGTTTCCATGCAAATGTTTATGAATGAGATTTACATTTAAACAGAGAGCCAAGAGCTCTCTATAATGTCAGTGAGACTCATTCTACCGGTTGGCAACTTGAAAAGAGCAAAAACTGATTTCTCTGAGCAAGAGGGAAATCTCCCTTAGACTGTTTTTGGACTCTATCTGAACCATTAGTTTATCTCTTGGTCATCAAGAGATTGTTTTGGGACTTGAACTGGAAATCTCTCCTGATTTTCTGCCTTGTTGAAATCCTCCATTAAATTTTTGACTGGCAGAATCTCCATGCCTTGTGAGACAGTTGCTTAATCTCAACCTCTGTCACATGTGTGTCTTATATACATACATATATATACATGTGTGTATATGCATATACATACATACACATACATATATACATATGTGTCTTATATCTTACATATAAGATATCATATCATGCATGTATACATAATATATGCACATACATAAACATATATATTTAATTGTATATACACACACAAATTCCTTCTATTTAGTTTTAATTACTTTGGAAAACCCCTACTACATAAATGAATTAACAACAGTTACAACTTTCAAAAGGAAGTAAAGTGGTATATTAACAGTTCACCTCTCCAAAGTTTTGATTAAATGAGAAGCTGGCAACAATACACTAATTAAAACAGCAAATAAACACTTTGTAGTTGGGCTTCTCACACATGGAAATTGTGATATATGAGCTATTGAATTCAGAGCCATCTGTTTGGGATAGAATGGGGAGAGAAGACACTTGGTTGCCTGCCATCAGGTCGAAAATTGGTACAAAGTCTGAGCTGGAAAACTGCATCAGCTGGCAAAAGTTAGGAGCAGCGAATGGACCTGCACATTCGATACACTTGTCAGCTGCTTTTGGTCCTGAGAAGCATTTGGTAGATGTATGTTATATTATAAAAATAATACTTAGGAAATTGGCTGTCTCTTGTGTTTGTGTTTTATCGCACACCTGTACCAGACGATCATGGGTTTTCCTGCCAAATAAAAATGTTCTAGTCAAGTTTCCAGGATGGCAAGTCTCACCAGGAAAATGTATCCTTGTCCTTCACATCTCTCTCATTCATTTTGGTTTCCAGCAGACACATATCTCTTGCTCCTCGCAGGAAGTGGAGCAATAAGCAAGGTGAAGGTCCTACCTCACAGAGCTTACATCCAAACAGACAAAAAGCGCAAGGTCTACTTGGGCTGCTATAGCAACAATCCCAAAGACAAGAAAGAGACATAGATTTCTCTCATTTTGGAGGCTTGAACATCTAAGACCACAGCATCAGCCATTTCAGGGTCTGGTGAAGGCCTGTCACCTGCTCGTACACTGGAGCCTCCCTATTCTCTGGCTGTGGAGGGAGGGGCTTGCTAGGTCTTTGATTCAAGGCTCAATCTCAGTGATGAGGCTCTGCTTCTATGATCTCATCTTCTTCCAAGGTCCACACTCACTAATCTCATCACCTGATGATTAGGATTTTAGCACACGAATTTGAGATGGCAGGGCCTCCAGTATTCCATCCCTAGCAAAGATCAAAGTAAGAGGAATGATAATCACATTAATCCAGACAATGATGGTCTTTTGTTCCTGTGGGAACTAGTGCATTCCCCACCCCCATCCCAGTCATACTCCCAGACTTTTGCACTTAGTTTACTTTTCAGATAGGGTATTCCATTTTTGCCTGAGCTGGTCTGACTATGATCCTACTACCTCCACCTCCTAAGTAGCTGGGATTTTGAGAAGTATAAATTTCTTTTTGTAAGGTAGCAAGCATTGTATGATTCTCATGAATTAAGTGGTCTCTTCTTTAGAAGATTCCTCATTCTTCCTGTGGAATGATCCTTCCACCAATGTATTCTCTCTCATTCTACATCAGAAGTAAATTTTATTGTACATAGCACAATTTTTTAATTGTACAACTGGTATCTTATACAATTTTTTATTGTACAGTATAAATGACTTGGCCATATTGATTAGTTAGGCATTCGCCACTGGAAAAAAGAAGGTCACAGATTGTCTTGCTCACATATCAGTCTAGGATGAATGAACAGACTAGCTGAGGTTTC